TTTTCAAAAATATTTTATCAGATCGGTATCTGTTCTCTATCATGGAGAAATAGGTTCCCGCGGTAAATAATAATAATAATAAATAACTAGATCTGCATAGCAGATATAAAAGCTTTATATTTACGGTCACGTCTGTTACATGGGGTTGTATAAAGAATCCCAACAACAAAAAATAATCATAAAAATCGGTCAAAAACTCGTGAAGTTATAAGCCTAAATATACCGAGAAACATTTCACCCCGGCGAAAAAATAGTCTGTAAAATAAAGGGAAATAACTGAGAATTGAATTGCTGCAATCGATTTGACTTATCGTTCCAGAAGTTTTAGAAAAATGGATCAAGCCGGTTAAAAACGGAACGGGGCAGTAAATAAAATGAAAATGCCGGACAAGAACTCAGATGTGGCCGGAACATATGGAAAAAAATAAATTAGATAAATATGTAGGACAAATTTGGAAATTTTTAAAATTAAGGAAATAAATTGTCCCGTAAAGAACTTTGAGGACACGATAAAGGTCAATGGCAAAATTAGAAATTTTGAAATTTGCAACTACCAAATATTCGACCCTAGTCTCGACTATCCAGAAATGTTCTCCAAACTACAGTATGATATGTCTATTTTCACTCCTTTAACGTTGATTTTTCACTTTTTTTTCATATTGAATTCAAAATGGTGACCATCAGTTGACGAAATCCAAATTCTGCTCAGATAGATTTTTAGGCATTACTTCAAGGATTGTACACATCAGTACTTTCTAAGCTAGAAAAGAACGTTATTTTTGAAAAATTTGATCCTTAATTTTATCAAGGGGAGATAAGTTAGAAAATTTCTAATGGCATCTGCCAAGTCGCATCGGTACGATCTACTTAAGTACTAAATTTCATAAAAATCGTGCAACTATCAAAGAAGTTGTCAAGTTGATCTCAACTTCCGGGTCGAAATCAGAGCGACGAATTTTCGAAATTCGAAAATCCGAAATTTCAGATGTTAATGAATTTTTTCAGGGCACTCAAAGTAAAACTTAGTAAAATCGGTAAAAAAAAAAACACACAGTTATAGTTATGTAGGTCAATTTCTTCGTTCGTAAAGTTCGGTACGTAAAACGGTTTGAAAATATATTTATTCAAAAGCTACCACCCATTTTCAGGGGGGGGGGGGGTAGGTCAAAGTTTCCGAACGATCCCATACTTATATTCTGAGAAATCCGATTTGCAGGAAGACACAAAATAATAATAACAATAATAATAATCTTAAGAGAAACAATAAGCTTTCATAAGTAAAATGAAAGCTTAATAATAATTTTAGTAATAACAACAGTCTTTCAGACGGTTATTAATATGAAATGAAATGGGCTTTAACGTCCTGCTGTTCTGCTTCTGCTGTGTTAAATAAGACAGGCATACGATATGCAGAATGCTAGGGGGAAATTTTGCCCGGGCAGCGGCACTACTCTTATATCGAATTCCAACTGCCAAGGGATCTTTTACGTGGACACCAATTTATAGACGGGTCCTCAGTTGATCGACTCATCCGAACGATTAGACAGCTGTTCTTGTCAGGGCCTCCATTCTGTATCACTGACATGGGGAAACGACGTTGGAAAATGCTGATATTTATGCGTATATATAGTGAGTAACATTGCACCCGGGCAAAAAAAATTGGAAAAAAGGGAAGTAACTGAGACTTGTATTGTTGTAATCGAATTCACTCCCCGTTCCAGAAGTTTAAAACACGGATCATTTCATTTTTTTATTTTAAACTTGAAAGATATTTCTATAGTTCAAAGAGATAGAATAAAGTCACCCACTGGGACAGAAGGTGTTTCCATATATCAGACAAAATCAAACCCATGCTATGGACAACATTGTGGAAACATGAAACCCCCAAAAAGGTAGGAAACTGTTCGAATATAACATATTGAATAGGTTTTATGTCGGAGAATTTACTTTTTTCCCGCAAGATTATGACACTTACGGAGTTCAGTCTAATATTCCCAGACCACTTGAATTAGTTTAAAAGGCGAATTATCAATATAATTAACGGCGATGGCTTTATGATCTGGATATCTGTCTACGTTTTAAATTTTAGGTTGCTAAGCTTTAACGTAGCAACTTTTGAAACGGGCTGAAGACTGAAGTCGAGTCAATTAATAGACTGCTAAAAAATAACGAGAACTATTGCCCCTGGCCAAAAGGTAATCTAAAAATAAAAAGATATTGCTGAGACCGTATTGCTGGAATCGGAAGTTTCTGAAAAATCGATCAAGTCGTTTAAAACCCAGAAAGATCAGAAAATGAGCTGATAATGGCTGGAAAAATGCCGAGAAATTATCGAACAATAAATTGAGATAACTTATATTGAATCATATATTTTTGGAATCGGATTGGCCTCAGCTATTCGAATATTAAGACTAAGTTTGTAAATTTTAAAAATGAATCAATCTACTTTCATTCCAAATATTATGAAAATCGTGCTTTGATTCCTCATTTCTACAAGGGGAGATAAGTTAGAAAATTTCTAAAGACATCGTTTCAGTTAAATGAATGAATCAGGTCTACTTTTATTCCAAATTTCATGAAAAACGTGCTAATATTAAAGAAGTTGTCAAATTCGTTTTTACTTCCGAAATAATATGTCAATGACTTAATTTTTGAAATTTGAAAATAGCAGATTTAAAATACCCAGAGAAATATGAATATCTAAAATGTGTCAAATATTCACAAAGTTACAGCTATGTAGGTTGATTCTTTCGTCAGTAACATTTGGTGATTTCGGATATGTAAAACGTTTCGAAAATATGTATTCTAACGCCAACATCCATTCTGGGAGATAGGTTAAAGATTTAGAAAGATCCAAAGATTAGATTCTTTGATATAAGCTTGACAGAATCTTAAGAAAGAAATTGTCCTGTAAACAACTTTGTCGGCACGAAAAACGTCAATGTGGAAATTCGAAATTTTGAAACACCTAAAATTCGTGCCTTAGCCGGGCTTTTCAGAAATGTAATAATTTAGGTAATAGGAGACGGATTTTCTAAACCACGACCTATTATGTATGTTTTCAAGCCCATTAACGTGGATTTTTCACTATTTTTTTTATTTTCAATTCAAAATGGCGTCCATCATTTGCCAGGAATCAAAATTCTAAGCACTACATTTTATGGGCATTCCTTCAGGGATTCAGAAAATATAATTCCCTTGTCTGTAAATAAAATTTCAAAAAAGTCTTAGGGATATTTCACATTTCAAGATGGTGGCACTTCCGGATTGAGCTACAAACTCCATTGTTTGTGTACGAATCAGTAGTGACGTAGCTAGTACATAAAAAATAATTCCAGGTAATCTGACCTATATTTCGTCGATTATTTTGAAAAGTTTGATCCTTTATTTCTCCAAGGGGAGGTAAGTTAGAAAATTTCTAATGATATCTTTCACGTCGCATCAGTAAGATCCACTTACACTCCAAAATTCAACAAAATCGTGCAAATATTAAAGAAGTTGGCAATTTGGTCTCAACTTCGGGATCGAAATCAAAGCGACGAATTTTCGAAATTCGATAATGTGAAATTGCAGATGAAAATAATTTTTTTCAAGGTACTCAAAAAAAAAAAGAATTATTAAAATAGGCCAAAATCCACAAAGTTACGACTATGCATTATCAGATTTTCGTTCGTAAAATTCGGTGATTTCGGATTCGTAAAACGTTTTGAAAATAATATTCATTCCAAAGCCACCACCCATTCTTGGGGGCGGGGGGGGGGGTCAAAGTTACAGAAAGATCCTATGGTTAGATTCTGAGATATAAGATTTGCAGGAAAAACACACACCCACCCCCCCACCCCACCCCCCACCCCCACACACACACACACAAATGATAATATTAATCTTAACAAAAACAATAAGCTTTCATTTGAAATATGAAAGCTTAATAATTTTAATAAAAACAATAGTCTTTCAGACGAAAGCCTAATACATAAATTTGTTTTATATTTCAAATAATCCTAAATAGGTGAACATATGATCCTAAATAGGTGAACATATGATAAATTTGCACAGTAAGTTGTGCATGGCAGAAATGGAGTCTGCGCCAAAAACGAACTCCATCTTTGAAATATCTTCATGACGTGATGGAAAAAGAACTATAATATAGTCATGACCCCTGCCTATATTAATACAGTGCCAAATCACAGTTTATGTGTCGATAACATTATAAATAAGTGGCTTACCGTGCTACGAAGACTTACTCAGAAAAAAATATCAATATTGTTTTTTTTTATTATTAAACGTCGAAACCTTCAAAATAAAGCTTATTCCACGATTTCTACCCGTATTTACAATACTACGTGGTCTATGAAGCCATTTTCAAATTTAAAAATTTGAAAACCACTAAAACATATCTATGTATCAGATGTGGTCTGGCAGATTTCCTTCAAATTTTATTATAATGGTCAAATAGTAAAAAAAAAAACAACATTTTTTGAGCAATCGAACAAAACCCCCCAAACACAGTAAAGCATCTTTAATCAGTATTTCTTTAATTACAGCAACAAAAAATACTAATGGCAAATTATTTTCACATTTAAATGTACATTTATATATACACAAGTAATCTAAAGGGGTATATTTGCACACGCTACCTTAAAGGGTGTCGGTTTTTGTTGGGTTTATTTTTTGTTTCAAATTCAGTGTTTGTATTGATTTTTTTCTTTAAAATCTTTACATTGTTATTAAATAGTGACCTATTTTTAATATGTAGACGTTATATAAAAAAAAGTGTTGTTATTGTTGAATAAAGCTTTCTGTCATGTTTTGCGTACGAATCCAATAACGACTTTTAACATCTAACTTGAATAGTTAAGAAACGGTTTATATGCTTACATTTTGAATGACTATGAGGTCCTTTTGACCAGAGAGACAGTGATGAGCAAGCCCTGTCAGTATTAAAAACGACTGCTGTCTATTCATCAAACGTTATTGTGTGAAATATATAGTGTACCATTATCAAATACATATACAGTCGTATTATACGCAAACACACGCCTTCTGGGAAAGACTGTTAATTTGACCTGTAAGGGTTCACCACCACCCTAACGGAGTATATGCTTGATTAACTAACTGTAGCGAACATCTAACGGTAATTTGGGCCATGTTTAAAGGTTTAGATGGCATGTACGAGACGGTATGAGCTACAACCCTAATCTCACTAGACTTTCAACACAGATGATTTACTTATAACCACTCAATCTGTATCATGATTTTATTCAAACAGTTATAACAGTACTAACGAGCTGGAAATACTGCACGGTTATTAGTAAAGGTAAGAATGACTAAAGTTTAGTTATTTTATAATTGTAATCAATTTTAATTTCAGTAACTATTTATTACTACATTTCATGTTTTTGAAATCTACAATAGAACGTGCGTTTTAGGGTGTACGATCTATAGTTAAATTACATTCTTCTTGTATGCATGGTGAAATTAGCAATTGTTATGGTTAATACGTTATGTACAGTTTATTTGCTAATATTCGGTTTTGCATAAATTGTGACAAAGAGCTATATATAATGTTCAATATATAAAGGGCGTGTGTTTATATTTACTGTATCACTGTATATTAAATACATTTATATTTTATGCATGTAGATGATAACTAGCACGTATTAATGCCGGATGTAAACTTAACTGTGCGACCCGCCAGCAGATAAGCCTAATGTTGCCGGGTTATTTGTTGTTTTTTAGGTGTTTTTTTTTTGTTTTATTAAAGATAGACTATGGGAGATTAGATAAAGAACTGGTAGTTTTCGCTATAATAGTTAAAATCTAGATTGATCCACTCTGAACTGAGAATTTAGCGATTGAATTTTAGACCTAGCCTCGATCAACATTACAAAATTCGATACGATAAAAACATAGTCTCGATTATCCATTTTTTTATTTAATCATCAATGAACATTGAGCAGCAGATCGGATTCCAATCTAGTAAATATCGCAGGCTATCTATGACATCGGGAGTTGATTATGGCCTTGATAAGTTAATTAATGTCTAATTAATAATTTAGATAACATTTCAGGCCTAAAGAAAGACCCGTAATAGGCAGATTTAGCTCTTGCATATTTAATATGGTTTTACTGATATCTGTATACAATTTCTGTTAGCGTTAATAACACATGTCTTAAACTTAGACATAAACATGGGATATATATTTTCAATGTTAAGTATAAAACAAATAGTGAAAATCCATCAGATTTTTTTCCCCACATTTCGAGTTGCAAATCGTGTAATCTGTATTCAGAGACAGTCTGGGATCCAATTAACTTGATTGGTTTCTCGGTTTGACTAGATATCATACGCATTGTATTCGAGTGAAAGGGAATCATTTTAAAACCTATTTTATAACAGCCTAGAATACATTTATCATACTGTTACACTTTTTTACATTCTCTTCTACACAGCTGAGGTGTTTTCAGGATATACTTTCATATTTAGTTCTGCAATATTCTGTCTCTGTTATGTACTGGAGTGTCGTGGGCGATATTATGAATTTTACCATATACTATCAATTTCTGTGTTATTATATCATATTGATTTTGGAGAGCTTTTGCTTTTGACAAAAATGTACTAAATGTGAAAAATTACATTTTGCTAATGGATACACCGTAACTCCTAACTCACAACACCCGACTTCTTTCCTGTGATGCCCTATAAGATGTTTGGCACTCTTTGTAGGGTTAGCTATGCAATATTAATACGTGTGTTTATTACAGGTAACAATAGTTAACAAACCTTTTGAAGATGGACTTCACTGATGATAATTCGAGAATCATGTATCTACCTTTAGAAGACTTAAATTCAGGTTTATTGTCCAAATTGGGAAATGTTCGTCTGCTCATGGTACCAAAAGATGACAGAACTGCTTATTCAAGCCTGTTGGGCGAGGATTCTGATTGGATGATGACTGAGAAAAATGAACCAAGAAGCCCTCCACATATTCAATGGCACCACCCTGCCTTTGATTTCAAACAACGATCAAATGATGAAACAGCAAAATATCGTCAAGAATTTAAGGTACCCGAAAACAGTTGCTATTGAATATTGGATACCATTCCCACGTTGAAACGTTTTGCATTACTGAAGTTGCTGCGAACTTTTGAGATCACCTGATTGTGGGGTTTTTTTTGTTTTGTTTTTTTCACCAATCACAGCCAAACCAATTTTCATCCGTGGTCTCTATCAATGTTGTTGGGTCCAATCAGGGGGAATATTACATGTTAAAGTTTTCATGATAATTGGTATTAAACAATGTGACAATCAGAAATATTTTATTTCCTATTTTCTCTTTTAAACTATAGTGACGGAATGTTTCTATTTTTATCAAATATATATATTTTTTTATTTAATTAGTATTCCCAAAGGGGGTCAGAGATAACTGAAATCCAGATGCCTCAACAGAGTCCCTCCTTCAGAACACCCTCTGATAATATATATGATCATATCCATCATAACATAGAGTCACCAAACATATTACCCGATACAGTATCACATGGTGTAAAACACCAGGCAGATAAAATAAAACGCCAGTTATTCTCTAAAGGTAAGTACAAAATTAATGTATTGCCCACACCCCACGTAATCCTTTTGGTGTTGCCTTCCATGTGTCCCAGTCTACATTGTGGTACTAAGCCATCGTTTTGTTGATTTACCGACAGCAGTCTACTAGCCTTTCAAATAGCTCCCTTTGGTCTGTGTCAGAGGTGCAGAACGGAGGTACTGGTAAGGAACAGTGTCTAGTCGTTAAGATAGGACGAAAAACGAGGTCGCGGTCCGGTAAAAAGGCATGGGGTATGCCCATATTAATTATCCCGGGTGGTTTAGAAAAGTAGGACCATTTTCATTTCCATTTTGATCTCTCAATATTTCTGTTGAATCAAAACCAGTGACGTATTTTGTCGCTATTATCACCCATGGGTATACTGTTATATAAACATATTTATTGCTCTGGTTAACCCCGTTTAGATTTGCTACGCGATTTGTTGTTGAAAGACTTGTTAACCAATCGTAATCAATCTAGCAAGACTTGTTGACGCTTGGTAGAAAAAGCAACCGAAGAATAGTATCCGACACAATTAACTAAAAATTAGAATAGAAATGAAAGCCACTACGCCCATCCCTCAACCACCTACCACCGACAGTATTAGCTTGTGCATATCTAGACCTCGGGTATTATTTAAGCTTTTCGTATTTGCCTTTATAGAAGAATCTTTTGTGTTTTAATAGATAAGATGGCACGATATAATATAGAGTTTATGTATTGTTTGTAGGAGAATCCAGCAATTCAGATGACTTCGACACGATGGATAATCTCTTGACGTTTATTGAATCAAGAACCACTCCTCTCCGTTCTCCGTCCACTGTAACGCCTAATCATCTCGCTAATTCATTTAGTCATGCTCATCACTGTGCTTGTGATGGATCGCACAGTAATTTGAAAAGACGAAAACTTGGTATATATTTATTATGATATTCATTATTTTTACTCCGTAATGCTAGCGCCATGCGGCTTCTAATAACCGCTGGCGTTCTCATGACTATCTCTATTCTTTTCTCTTTTTGTGGGCAGTTTGTTTGTGACCAGAATCGTCCGTTGACGTTGCTCGTTGGAAGCCACGGTGCTGTCCCAGACGAAATCAAACTTGTTTACTAATTTGTAGCACGTCGCATTTGTTGTTTTTGTATTAGATTTATTGACATGGAGCAGCGTCGTCATTCAAATATGGAAATTTCCCGATTTCTGTTGATAAGTCTATAATATTGGTGGTCTGTATCTCAATGTGGGAAGGGGGTTGTATCCCTTTAGTAGTAGGCTACTCAGTACATCGTCATTGATAACGGTCACTAAAACAAATTATGTTTCGAAAAAATGTACCTATAATATACAGACTCTACCTACATTAATGTGAAAGTTAAATGTATAACGGATATATTGTTTCTTTTTTAGATGAAGTTTGTTTGACGCAACAACCACACTTTCACTCCCAGACAAATCCAAATTGTACTTGTTCTGTGATGGCGGAACATTATCTACAAATGGCAGAAGCAGCATACAAAAATATACGACGTAAAGATTCATCGCCAGCTAGTTTTGAGCAGTTTAAACGAGAATTATGTCAAACTAACGACATATTGAAAGAATCTGTCGATATTCTTACAGATATGAAAAAGATGTGCAAGCACATGGTTACTGATAATTTGTGATCAGATTTTATATTCAAATCCTAATTATGTAGCCATGTTACTAGTTTTTGTCGGCAATTATTTGCTACACCACACAATACCTCATCTGGTTAAACCTACTAACAGTACCTGTTCTCCTTGACATATGCGCATACACCCACTGTCAATTCTATTGACTTTATTTTTCCTGTTCATAGTTTTAAAATAAGTTTCGAGGGTGCAATAGCCGAAGGTAAAACATACACAATAACTATTTTTGTCAGTTATTTTAATATTTTTGTCTTCTTGTCTATTGTAAAAAATAATCCTTACCGCTTGAAAAAAAAACTTGCTTCATGTTTTCTATACTAATTTCATATTTTCGTTCTATGTTGTCCTGATATATATTTTTAACACTAGTTACTTGGTAATTATTCACTTCTGATTGAGTTGAACATACATAATGCAAGAGCTAAATCTGAATATTGCAGGTCTTTCTTTAGGCCTGAAATGTTATATAAACTATTAATTAGACATTAATTAACTTATCCAAACCAAAATCAACTCTCGATGTCATCTTATGTGTCGGATTTTCACTGGATTGGAACCCAATCTGCTGCTCAATGCTCATTGATGATTAAATCCAAAAATGAATAATCGAGACTATGTTTTTAGGTAGGCTTAAAATTCAAAAGTTAATATCTCGGTTCATAGTGGAGCAATATGATTGAAATTTTCAAAATCTTCTATCTACGTTATCTATGTTTACCTCTTGATATAATCGCCCATAATGTATCTTTGATATTTATTATTTGATAACATGTAGGACTACAGATTCCCCTGAGGTTGAATGTTGGATATTAATTTAGTACTGCCAACATTCAACCTGTGAACTTTTCCCCCTTTTTAAGTATTTAATATTATTTAATTAGTATTTATTATCTTTATTATTATTATACAAGTGATATTAACATTGCCTTGGAGCATAATTAATAATTGCACAGTAAAAGAATAACAAACTGACATGAACTCGTTGGTTGAAGTAAGATTTTATGTTTAAAAATGTATACTATTTTTGATGTCAATGTAATTTTATATTAAAGATTCCTACAACCAACCAATGTAAAGTAAAGTAAAAGTCGGGTGATAAAAAGTGATTTATCGAAAATCATATTTGCATGGTGGAGAATTGTTTTTATGTAACTGTCTTTGCGTTTCCATCATGGTGGGCGTTCCCTCTGTCTCCAATTTTCAGTAATTGACATAATAATGGAGCGAGTGAAAGGCCAAGATAACTGTTGGGACTCAAAGTTCTTTTTATGTGTATTTATTTTCAATTTGTTTTCAGAAATTTTGTTATATTATTATTGTATATTTATTAGCATTTAGTTATGAAATATTGTATTATTTATTTATTTATTTATTTATTTTAGGATTGCCGTCCAAAAATACAAATTCATACATGATTAATGCCATAATGTCCGTCATATGATATGAATAAAATAATTTATGCCATTAACAATATATACTGTGTCTATAAGTGCTAGTGTTAATTTATTTAAAATGTGTTCACATAAAGGGTCAACAAGAAATATAGTTTAAGAATACACATGCAAATATAAGTAAAAAAATTGTAGAAAAATTATCAGATTTCAAATTCAGTAGTTCTAACTTAAGACATGACTATGTTCAGGTTTACGAACTTTTCTAGTGATATCAAGCCACCATCTTGACTGCCGCTGTTTGAAATATAGATTTCTTTTTGTCTCCCTGTCTAACCTTTAGCCCCAGACTAGATAAATTATAAAATACACATCCTCAGACTAGATAAATTATAGAACACATATTTACCATCGACGTCAAGATAGCGTATTCTGTCCTACATTTTATATTTTCAATGTCATATTTGTGTTCAATTTAAACAATGAATACAGTTTCTAACGTATTGTTTCTTTAATATAATATTATATTTGTTTTCTGGTATTATATATAAACATATACCTGTGTTATTTTTATACGAATGTGTTTACTTGTTATATTATATATTTTTCTGTTATTATAAATGAGCACTGTTAACCTGTATGTGTATTATATTGATAACGGCGTGTTCACTTATTATATTTTTTTCTGATTTCTGTTAGAAGTAATAAATACATATCATAAGTAAACCTTTGATAAAACGCGTGTGTGATACATTAAAAATTTGGTAATTTATAATATTAAAAATTGTCAAAATAAATGGATTGTGAGATAACATAAATTGTGTGCGGTTTGTAAGAGTAATTGTAAATGTTGATCATTGTTAAAGAATAACAAAATAAAGCGCCTAATCAGTAGCCAAGTGTAGGCCCAATGTCGAATCCTAAGTGCGTGAAATAGTGAATATTAGAAAATTTTCAAGTTACATAAAATACAACAGGCTTAGTCCTGATCTAATAAGTCAAGTTATCTCCAACTAAATGCTGGCTGCTTTTTAGCTATCAGTAGAAGCATTGTTTCTGTCAAAGGGTGGCAAGAAAAGTCGTTTTAATATCTCGATATAAAAATACAGGTTAAATGAAACATGAGCCAGCAGGTAGTTGCAATCGTAGCACAAATTAGAAATTTCCTCAATTCTGATTGGTCGAAAATTGTGGTCGAATGGACAATAAACCCCCTCTGAATTATCAAGGCGAATTATCGCGTATCAATATTACAGTGTACTTTTTTTTTCATTTTTCTGCTCAATAATCTTCCTCAACTCAAATCTTTATTGACAAATATCTTCAAGAAATTCTGCACACATGACTATCACACCATTGACAGTAAAACTTATACTTCACCTGATAATTGAATTTGTTTTTCAGATCACATCGATTATGTACATTGCTGAGACAGCTATACTGGGTCCTATGATTGAGAGAGAGCGTGTTTGTCAAGATGTGATATAGTTAGTTAATTTATAGCGATTCTCCCCAACCCTCACCCACTTCCAAACTTAATTTGCATGGCAATATTGGTATATACTATGATCTAGAATCGAGAAAGAATGTTTGAAATTGCAGGTATTGGAGGATATGTATGATTTTGAGACAGAAGGATCAGGAAAATCGCCAACGAAAATGTAGTAACGGCATATAGATGCCATTAACCTGGGTCAGAAACAAAATCGAAATGAATAACCGTATTTCAATCAATATTTTTATCAGATGATTGGGACATGTTGGGCTGTTTGTGGTTATAAAGATTAAGGTCATTGGAATGTTATAGGCCAAGGGCATCGATTCAACATTCAAGTCAAAGGAGTGAGGATTACTAGTCTAAAACCTTTATTTTTAATGTTGGTTATCTCCCTTGCATGCGTTGACACAATAACAGACCATTGACGAAAGGTTGTCTTTAACGTTGGAATGTTATAGGCCAAGGGCATCGATTCAACATTCAAGTCAAAGGAGTGAGGATTACTAGTCTAAAACCTTTATTTTATTGTTGGTTATCTATGGTGGCCCATGGTCGCAATAGCGTTTTTTGGGTTATTTTTTGTGTATCATTTAAAATAATAAAAAATATAAGTAAAAAAAAAAGAAACAATTTTTTTACAAAAAATTTTTTTAAATTTAAAATAAAAATAAATCTATAAAAAAAAAAATAATAATAAAATATTTAAGATTAAAAAAAATCTATAAAAAAAATAACATTTTAAATAAAAAAATAATAAGTGAAATAGAAAAAATCAAAATAGAATTCTGCATGTGGCCCATCGTCGTAATAGTGTCTTGATTATCCAGACTCAGTATAAAGTCAGCCTACGACATAGAGTTATATCTATGGCCTACGACAGCTATCAATAGACTCGAGTGACCAGAAATACCGCCTGGCCCATTGTTGGACACAGATCACTAAAGATTTTCCCCATTGACTCCAATGTTAATTCTCGTATCTTAGACCGGCTCTAACTTTTTCCCAAATTTTCGTTGGGTAGAACGCTTTCTACCACAGATGGAGCAACATGTGGCAACCACTTGCCCAAAAGCACGTATGAGGTTCTTCATGAAAAACTTGAGATACACAAGCTGGAAGTAGAGACAAGTAAACATGCAATTTCAGGCCCTACATTTCAACCTAACCAACCTCTCAACTCTTGTATCCTTCCGCATCAAAATTATGAATATTCACCAAAACCTGGCAGAAAATGTATTTTCAAACCCTCTTCCTCGATTCTACACCAAAAAGTCAACAAAAATCGCCATGCAAAAGGGGGAAAAAGGAAAAGGGAGAGGAAGACTAAAAATAGCTTTGGCCCTTGTTTCAAGATTTGGTGATCTGTGTCCTGTTGCTATAGTGTCTCGAAACGAGTTTGTAGTTATCACCCCTTCCGGAAAGAAAAAAAAGTAAACAGACATCAACACGGCACAATACTGGATCATCAGGACACAGCTCACAAATTATTTTTAGTCTTTCTCTCCCTTTCCCTTTTTCCCCCTTTTGGCGCATGGCGATTTTTGTTGACATTTTGGTGTAGAATCGAAGAAAAGGGTTTGAATTAACATTCAAGTCAATGGGCAAATGTGTGACAGGCTGAGACTGATATGCCTTAGTTTTGAAAATATGAAGATTAAACTCTCAGAAAATATGAATAAAATATTTTGACTACTGAAAAACTAAAAAAAGTTAAATTTCAAAAAAAATATTAAAATTTGGAGAAAAATTGTGATTTTACTGCAAATTTCTCAATTTTCAGTTTTTATTTAATTTCTAATAGTAAGAAAAATATTTTAATGCCCAATTTTGGATTATTCAACCTCAGAAAGCACAGATACAGTGAACAGTATTGTAATTTCACCAAATTTTGTCTAAAAATCAGGAATATTCACAGAAAATCTTTGGATTCCCCCCATTTCAATGTAGAAATCAATCCTTTCTTGACTACTCAAATGAATCAAAATGTCTAAAATGCATCTGATTTTCATTGCTAATGTAACTTAGATGGGATTTACAAGTTTATCAGGTTTAGAAATAGCATCAGCTTTCCTACAGAAAATTGAAAATTGGTAAATGGGTTTGTACAAAATGTTCAAAACAGGGGTTGGCTCAATTTTGCTACTGTTTTACCCAGAACAAGCATTTTTATACGCCCACATTTTCATGTGGACGTATTATGCCGTCGCCCCTGTCCGTCCGGACGTCCGTCCATCCGTCCACAATTGTTTGTGGACTCTCTACAGGTCACAATTCTTATCCAATTTTGACGAAACTTGAAATATAGGTTTATCCCAAAAAGATCTCGGCTGCTTTCGATATTGGCATGTATCGGACCGAAACTTCATGGATTATGGCCCCTGATTGTACGAAAAATCACGTTTTTAGCTTGTGGACCCTATAGAGGTCACAATTTTTATCCGATTTTTTTGAAACTTGAAATGTAAGTTTATAACCCAAAGATCTTGGTTCCTTTCGATATTCGCGCATATCGGACTGTAACTTCCTGAATTATGGCCCCTGATTGTACGAAAAATCACGTTTTTAGCTTGTGGACCCTATAGAGGTCATAATTTTTATCCGATTTAAAAAAACGTATTATTCTATCACCGTTACACCCTATGGAAGGTTGAGTTCGAATTTCGTGAAAATCGGCCCAAAATTGACAGACAAAATGGCCGCCGTTCGTTCTCAAATAGCGTAAAAATATGGTATATCAAGGTTGTGGACCCTATAAAGGTCACAATTTTTATCCCATTTTTTTTTTAAACTTGAAATGTAAGTTTATAACCCAAAGATCTCGGTTCCTTTCGATATTTGCGCATATCGGACCATAACTTCTTAAATTATGGCCCCTGATTGTACGAAAAATCGTGTTTTTAGCTTGTGGACCCTATAGAGGTCATAATCTTTATACGATTTAAAAAAAACGTATTATTATATCACCGTTACACCCTAAGGACGACTGAGTTTGAATTTCGTGAAAATCGGCCCAAATTTGACAGACAAAATGGCCGCCGTTCGTTCTCAAATAACGTAAAAATATGGTATATCAAGGTTGTGGACCCTATAGAGGTCACAATTTTTATCCGATTTTTTTGAAACTTGAAATTTAAGTTTATAACCCAAAGATCTCGGTTCCTTTCGATCTTCGCGCATATCGGACTGTAGCGTCCTGAATTATGGTCCCCGATTGTACGAAAAATCGCGGTTTTAGCTTGTGGACCCTATAGAGGTCATAATTTTTATCCGATTTAAAAAAACGTATTATTATATCACCGTTACACCCTAAGGAAGGTTGGGTTCGAATTTCGTGAAAATCGGCCCAAAATTGACAGACAAAATGGCCGCCGTTCGTTCTCAAATAGCGTAAAAATATGGTATATCAAGGTTGTGGACCCTATAGAGGTCACAATTTTTATCCGATTTTGTTGAAACTTGAAATGTAAGTTTATAACACAAAGATCTCAGTTCCTTTCGATATTCGCGCATATTGAATTGTAATTTCCTGAATTATGGCCCTTGATAGTAGGAAAAATCACTTTCTTGTTAGCTTGTCCTCTATCCATCTCTCGAAAATGTGGGCGTATCCTGCCTGGCAGCCGCTGGTTTTCTTCTTTGTAACATTAAATTCTTGCATTTCCTTCACGTAGAAAGCAATATTCCAGTCTTTCTAGCCATTTTTAACTCCACCGTTTCCTTAGGAGAGGCTATAAATGCCCCACCCCACCCTTTTTTATTAATGTGTTTTGAGAGATTTAATTGCACCTGTGTTGACAATAAAATGATAGTAATTGGAATTTGTGGTTGAATTACAGCTAGGAATGTTGTTTTTCACTAATAAATAGCTATTTTGTACATTTCAAAAATGTCTAAGCCTTTTTGTTTAAAGTCAAACTTAGAACCCAGAGACATGTCAGGCCACACCCTAATATAAAACTGGTGTAGATGTGTAAATGTCAGCTTAATGTTCAATATTTTCTTATCAAAGTCTAGGATTTGTGGTGATTCTTGCATTTATGTTACTTATAGAACAGTTAAATGTTAATATTGTTGAAGGGGGTCAAATGCCGGGGCTAAAGGGTTCATTTCCTTGAAAATACTTTATTAACTATAAAAAAGAAAACCCTGCAAATATACAAGTAATATAATAAATACAATGCATAAAAACAGTATTAAAGCATGGTTTAAAAGTAATAATAACGATAATATAAAATCATATGTATAATATACATATTAACTCTTCTCTTAAGTGACTTAAACTATGAAATACAGATATACTCGTAAAAGTATGAAATATACTTATTATCGCAGCGTAAATAATAATAATACTAATTAATACTAATAATTAGATCTTAAG